ATACATGCCTAAAACAATTCTAGGAGTAATTAGACTTTAAATTGATTATGTATGCATGTTGAATCAGATAAAACAGAATGTATGTTAATGAAATTATAATTGCTTGATCTTGAATTTTCTTGCATGAATATTTGTTTTAATTGGTGTTAATAATGCATAATGGATTTGGATAATTTTTTGAAATAATCTGGGACTTAGTTTGACCGTTAGATAATGATGCATAATGGATTTGGATAATTTTCTGGGATAATCTGGGACTTAGTTTTGAACGTTAGAGACCTTAACAGAGAAGAACGGAATGATCGGAAGTCGCTGGAGATAAGGAAGACGATGTATAGCAAGGAGAGAGACAACTCCCTCTTGGAGAGATACGGCTCCTATTGAAGAGAGACGGCTCCCTTAGGAGGGAGCCGACTTTGTGTAGGCTGAGGGAGGTGGCTCATTAAGAGGGAGTTAGCTCCATGTTGGAATGAGGCAGTTCCTTCTATGAGGGAGGCGGTTCCCTTCTTTAATATTGTTTTTTGACGAGTTTTTGGCCACTGTGTTTGGGTTTTGGGGTTCCAGATTTTATTAGGAACTTTCATGGGGAATTTAAATAATTTTTAAGAACTTGAACAATATGAAGTTTTAAACAAATTTGCATGTTGTTATTGGATATGGATGATTTAAATTGCTTACTTTTACTCTAGCAATTTTCTATGTATGATTGTACAATTTTTAATCATGTATCAGCAGTATAATATGATTATGTTATTTTACAGATTTATAATTGATATTTTAATTTATTATTTATTTCATCAATTATTGGACTGTATGGATGTGATGCACTAGTATGGGATGGTGGCATCTTAGTGATGGATTAACTAATAAAAGTTAAGTCCTACTTACTTGGATTTATATGGGAATGGATTAACAAAAAAAAAAGTTAAGTCCTCCTTATTTATGTCAGACCACTATATCAGATGGATGACATTTTAACTTATGCTTATACAGATTATATATATATAATTATGGTGCTATGATATTAGCTTGAGTCTTAGGATCATGGTTAGGGTGCGTATATTGCCTAGGATGGATAACTGGATATAGCAGACATCTGGGTGTCTAGTAGGTCTAGGTACACATACCCACTTTATGTGTGATTTGCATGTTACCTTCTATTCAGGTTGAGACAGACTTATAGTCCAGTGAGCGTCCTATAGTGCGTATATATTTATATGGACTATTCAGTTATTGTTAAGTTGTCTGGGATGTATTTGTGTATCGGGTTTCTGTTTGGATTGTAGTAGAGTAGAATTTGTTCGTGGGCCTGACCCACTATTATTTTTCAGGTGTTCGATAATTTCAGTCTTAGAGCTTGTTCGTGTCAAGTAGAGACAGTCACTCACTCTTCCGACTACGTAGGACTATTCTTTATGCTTTAGTTTTTAGATTTTTCTTTCAGTTCAGTTATTTTATTTCCAGTTGGGATATTATTAGGGGTCCATTAGATGGACTTCCGAGTTGTAATAATATTGGAGGTTTTGGAAATATTGGATTATTTAATTTTAAGGATTTTTATTTAGATTTCTTTGAGCTTAATTATTCTTTATTCTTTATTCCTTCTTGTATTCTATGCTTGTTTATAAACTTAATTATTTAGTATCCCTCGGATCTGTGCTCGGACTTGATCATCCGTGCCTCTATAATTGAGGGGTATCGCAGTTGGTATCAGAGCACTTCAGGTTCAAGTATTTCTAGGGTCGTAATAAGACATCCGCGTAGCGTATTATCTTGTTTAGAGCTTAAGTTTAGAATTCGTTGTATTCCTTTACGATTCGTTTAAAATCGTACTGATGTTTGTTTTTTTATGTTAATAGAATGGTTAACGCTAGAACCAGACAAAACAATCAGAGAAACAGGCAGTGAAGGGAAACGGCATGTAAGCAGCAAGATCTCCTACAGTGTCAGTAAATGGAGGAAGAACAGCAATTGCCTGGGTTTTAGGATAATGGTGGTCAGTTGCACGTGGAACAGGAGGAAGTTTAGCAGACTCAGGGGTCTCAGGATCGGGGCTATAATTAGGGCAGAGATCCAGAATATCCTCCTCATCTAAATGACCTCATTGCTCAGGCTATAGATATAGGTGTAACAGCTGCACTTCGGAATCAGCCACAGGTTCAGCAGACACATATACTAACACAAGTGGTTTGATCCTTAGAAAAAGGTTAGGAGTTCTTTCACAAAGTGGAGCCCACCTAAGTTCTCAGTCTCCACCGATGCGAAAGTAGCTCACCAGTGGAAGTTCAACACTCGTACTTATCTTTTTCTAATGCATGCCTAATCTTTAATTTTGATAATTTTCAAGTTTCAATGACTTACCTCTCAAATGATAACATGACTACTCTATTTTTCTTTGTTACAACACACTATTAAATTATAGGTTTTTATTTTATTTTATTTATTATTCTTTTTCTTTTATTTATTATTTTTCTCTACTCTTTGTCATGCACATACAATAAATTTGTTATGATTAAAATGATACAAAATTTTATATATATATAAAGAAAAATAATATAAGTGAAAACCGATCGACTATATTAATCAGAGTGGAGGACGCGATCACGCAGTCGATCTACTAATTTTGGAGAATGATTGCATGTGGAGAATCACGTCATCCCCTCACGTGTATGATAAACACCAAGAAAGTAAAAATAAATTTTCAAGTTAGGTGATTACATATTCAGTAAAAAAATTTGACAGTTATATCAATTTCTTAAACGAGATCTACAATTCATAGAGCGTGTGTACAGTCAAGTCTATTAATACCAAAATGAGTGAATATCATCACATGCTCCTGAGTAGCCCTAACTTTGTCCTATTCCTTCCCTTCTTACACATTCAGTTATACTTTCATCACTACTTTTATCGTCTTTTTCTGGTCACATTTTGCCTCGATACAATACAATTGAATCATATAATATATTATATTTATGTGTTCATGCACACTATTAAATACAGTATATGCCATATATATATATATATATATATATATATATATATATATTGAAAAATATATATAAAACTCTCAAAACAGTCAGTTGCCAAAATAATATTTGACAGAACACTCAAAGAATGGTGCCATTCAGAATCAACACTATAACCAATATAGAACTGAGATTAAGAGTAATATGTGAAAGTGAAAATTGTGTTTCTGTATTGAAATGGTGAGACATTGAGTGATGTTTACAGCTAAATATTATAATTGTCTTTTACACGTTGCACGAGTATTTGCACAGTGTCAGAATATTAGGGTGACACGGTATTATCTACAGTTTGTCCGGTTAGTGACGCATTTAAAAAATTTTGTAAAGGGGCGATCTTTTAATTTATGGTGGTAAACTTATATAGTGAATCTATTTTTTGTAATTTCAATAGGATTTTCTTTATAAATTTTTTAAAAATTAAAATATAAAATGCAAAAAAAATAAAATAAAAATTAATGGGGCGAATTGTAATTTTAGTGGGGGCATTTAAAAAAATTCTTAAAAATTTAAAGTATAAAATGCAAAAAGAATGGCGATTTATAATTTTAGTAGGGGCATCTTCATAAATTAAAAAAAATTTAATGTATGAAATGAAAATAAAAAAAATTCTGTGGGGCATTTTGGGTCCGTGCCTGTGTGCAGTTGGAGGATATGATATGCACGTTGGTTGAGAGACTCAGTCATGTGAACGTTGATGACACCAAAATATCAACTATTAACCTTCCGAGAAAAAAATATATATATATATATATATATATATATATATATCAACTATTTCACAAATAAAATATATTGAGTTATCTTGAAATACTTTATATATATACATATATAAATACACACACACACAACACAACCTGCAGCAAAAATCATTTTCAGTTGCTAAATTGATTACTTAGATGACTAAAATGATGGATGATAAATATATGTAGCTGACCTTGGAATTTAGCAGCTAGTGGCTAAATAATTGAAGTAGCATCAAGTAGTTTCCAGTTCCTGTAAATGGTAAATTAAAGTTTGTCAACATTAAAATGATTTATTGCTTTTTAATCCATATTTTGCAGGAAAGCTACAAGACTACAAGTCATCTTACTTCGAAGGCACAAACTTTAATTATTTGATACACTAACATTTGAGAAACAACTTGGCATTTTGTTTGTTTTGATGTAAAATTTTTAATATTTTGACACATTTGGTTACATAAATAATTTTTTTGGTTAACTTAGCTTGGCCTATGCAAGGCGTCCCTCACTTAAATTAACGATAATTTTTTATATTTAATATGTTAACGAAATTAATTAACTATTCTTATATATTGGAAAAAATTATTTAAAAGTTCATTATATATACCTTCTCCGTCCCAAAATAATTGGGTACTTTAAGAATTGTGACTCACAACAAGAAACTCACACACATACACTTTGCTCCTTTGAAGACTCGAACCCTCACTATCCACTTTGACAAATAGAGGAGATTCTACTAGTGAAGTTCATTACATTTTTCTTCTTCTAAATTCATAATTAATCTTTAATTTTGATATTTTCAAGTTTTGCAGAATTATTCTCTCAAATGATAGTATGACTGCTCTATTTTTCTTTGTTATTAGAATATTGGTTTTCTTTCTATATTTTATTTTATTATTTGTTTAATTTATCTTTTTTATCAATATATATATTAGTTTTGTAAATGTTCATTCCTTTTGGTTAATATTAAAGATATATATATGAAGGGAGGACTCATAAGAAACTCACACCCATATTATTTTTATGAAAATTTCAACCTTCAACCTTATAAAATTATATAAATGAATTATTTGACTGATATGTTAACGAATAGTCTTTACATCAACATGCATATATATAATTAATTTTCAAGAACACCTTAAGATTGAAGGCATAATTAATTAATCCTTCTGATCTAACTCTTATGGTTGGCTTAATACTTAATTAAACTTTTGAATGAGAGATTACATATATATAGATAGTGAAAAATAAATAATTAAAAATAAAGCTGGTAAGATTTCTTAATTAGCACGTTTAGACAAAACTTTACATGCAACTAATTAAGCCCTAACCATAATGACTCCTCTTAGACACCCTGACTTTGAACCCACCAGCCATGTGAGCTGTTAGGAGAGGAACAAAAACAGGCTGGACCGAACCGGCCGGCCTGATCTCGAACCGCCTCAGAACCGAAGCCATCACATACTTCATCTGCATGAAAGCCATTTCCTTCCCAAGACACACCCTCGGACCGGCCTGGAAAACCGGAAACTTGTACGGACTCACCATTTTCATCCCCCCATCCCCATCGAACCACCGGTCCGGTCTAAACTCTAACCGGTCCTTCCCCCACAACTCCTCCATCCTCCCCATTCCATAAGGAAAATAGGTTACCCTGTCCCCCTTGCACACCGGTGTCCCGTCCGGCAACACGTCGTCGGCTCCGGCGTGCTTCGAATCCCACGCCACCGGCGGGTAGAGCCTCATGGACTCACACAAACATGCCTTCATATACTTCATATCCTTCAGTCCATCATAGTCCAAAGGCTTTGTCCCATTGTCTACTAACATCACTTCCTCAACAATCTCTTTTTCGACATTGCTATTCCTCGACAGCAACCAGAACAGCCACGTCATCGCCGCGGACGTGGTGTCTCTTCCCGCCATAATAAAACTTATCACCATATCTCTCACCACCTCCTCGTGATGTCCGGCCACTAGCAACCTCGACAAAAGGTCACCGTGATCACCACCACTGTCTCGATTTTGTAATTTAATTTTTTTAGACCGAATTATCTCAAGAACCGAGCTATGGATGAGCTCAACCGCCTCTCGGAGCTTCTTCTCCGACCCCACATTGAAGAATCTCTTCATTTTCCACACGGCGAAAACTGGCGCCGCCCCTCTGGCGGCGCTTATCTTCGAGGCAGTGTCAAACGCCTCCACGAGAGGCGGCACCGCCCTAGACAGGTCGAGACAAAAAGGGTCCACGCCTAGTGACACCCGGCACACCGTGTCAAACGTAAACCGCCTCAGAACGTCCTGCAAGTCCAAAACCTTGCTGTGGCACTCTGCGGCCGTCTCGAGAATCGGGACTAGCCGGGTTTTAACTTCTTCCTCAATTATCTTGACAACAAACTCCCTCAGGGACTTGGTGCTGAACTCGTGACTCGCTAACTTGCGCTGGGTGTTCCACAGCTCCCCGTCCGTGTTGAAGATGCCTCGGCCGAGCAAATCTCCGAGGATTTCAGTGAAGGGCTGCCCTTTCGGGTAGTTGTTGAAGTTTGTCTTGAGGATGTACTCCACGTTGGCCGGGTTGGCGGTGACCACGGTCCGGCGTGCACCAAGCCGGTTCACCACTATGGTGAGGGCAGATGACTCGGACAAAAGGCCGGTGTACCAGTCCAAGAGACGGCGCCGGTTCTTGTAGAAAGAAATGAGGCATCCGAGGAGTGGGTGTGTAGGAGGGCCGCCATTGATGGATGATTTTTTTGTATGAAGGTTTTGAATTTGAATGAAGAGGTGACGTAGGAATGTCATGAAGATAAATACTATAGAGAGAAAGAGGATGAGAGAGGGAAACATGGCTGGTTTAGGGGATGTGTTACAGAGAGCTAGTGTTAGTTTTGGAGGGGATGGAGTAATGCAGAATTGACAAATTAGGTTATATATAGAGTGAGTATGGGCAACAACGTTCAAATGGTCCACATGAAAATCGTGCTTCAAATAAAAATTGTGGGCGGGGGCAAATTTGTAATTACACCGAGCAATAAATCGCGGGCGTGGGTTGTCTATTTCTGTCCGACATTGGATGTTTCCACGTTGTTATGAAAGAGAAATTATTTGATCCCTCCGGACCACATTTGATTTAGTTGTTTGAGCTTAGTAGTCATTAGACTAAATTTTAATTTGCTAAATTACACTACTCTTCCATATCAGACTTGTGGACTTTATAATTATATTTCTATCCTAATATATATATATATATATATATATATAAAATTTTATTCTAACAAACACATCACTCAATAATGGAATTAGAATTTGAAAATTACAACATTATGGACATCAACATTTTTTTTGTTATTAGTCGTATTGATGTATTATTTACATACCAATTTAAAAAAAATCTTAATGTAATTTGACAAAGAAAGAAAGAGGTAAATATAATTTGACAAATAAAGGAGAGACACGCTATTTTCTCAAAAAAAAAAATTTTTAATGTAATTTGACAAATAAAGAAAGAGGTAAATATACTTTGACAAATAAAGGAGAAACACTATTTTCTCAAATTTGGCAAATAAGTTCACTTTTTATTAAGTTAAATGAGATGGATTCTCCTGTTACATGCTTCTCTCCATTAAATTACATCCCTAAACCAAATTAACAAAGTTGTTTAATTAAGACCGTATATATCACCCCCATTTAATTCAAGAGCTAAGTACTTAATTAACGGTCACTGTTGAACTTTCAAAAGAAAATATATATTTTTGAATTTAGTACTTTCGGGTTAGTGCAATTGGTATAATTTCTTCCTCGAAAAGAATTTAATGTTTTGATATTTATTTCTATAACTACTTAATTAAAATGCACACAAAGAGCCATTTAAAATTTAAATTATAAAAAAATTATTTTTTAACAAATTGTATTAATTATATTGAATTTTCAATGTTCGAACTTCACACACAATAACTAATTAATAAAATTAAAAAACCAGTCACAATGGGCTAGCACACAGAAAAGAGTTAGAAATTCGTTTCAGGGATGTCGAAGGCGACAACTGGTGAGCATTTAATGATTTTAAAAATAATTACTGTAATAATAATAATAATAAGATCATTTTTAAGAATGAGTAAGCTGATAGAATATTTGTTTTTGATGGCATAATTAAACATATTTTTGTATTATTTCTGTAAGTACTGCTTTAGTGTTAAGCAACCTGAGGAGGCCCGAGATGACATGGGCCGGATATGACTTGCAAACGCGACATTCGGTCCGTACAGATGGGTCAGGCCCATAGAAAGATACTGCCATATGGGCCGAACGTGAATAAGCCCATCAAAGATGACCAGAACCCATGGAGGAACGGGCCTAGATCCAGCAGTCCATCAACATTTGTAAATATCTATAAATAGGAGAAGTAATGGAAAGAAAGGGGAGATATTATTTTGGTTGAAATGCAAGAATTCCAGAGAGAGAAAGGGAGGAAGAATATCTTGTATCTTCAATTGGCGCCGTCTGTGGGAAGCGTGGAAGATTGGTTGATCAATGATTAATATCGCGTGGATTCAGACCAATTCGGGGGATCGAGACTCGATCTTTGGGAGTTGGATCCAGATCTGAGCGATTGTGACCTACTCTGGAGGAATTTTAGTTCCTGTTGCTTTGGCAGAAGTGGCTTCAGATCTACGCAACAACGAGTTGTTCGATTGTGGCAGGATCTGACGGATTTAGAATTCAGACAATTCAGATCTCGTCAACCGTGAGCATAATTCGGAGAATTCGAAACCAGATCTGAAAAATTCCCACTCACGAAGCTCGAATCTACTCACGAACTTGAGATTAATGCCTTTACTCCGTTCAGGAATAATGATAGGTGAAAGCTCCAATCCGATGGAGGCTGTCCAGCAAACGAAGCTTGAGGAGTTGATGAACTTGATCGAGGCTCTCAAAAAAGAGAATGCAGAATTGAAAGCTGGAATGCAACATCAGCAAATGCCCGCGGTTTCGCTTCCACCTCCGGCCGGAGAAGGAGGTGTTCAATCTAATATCACGCATCAAGGCGAGCAGGACGAGAACAGTCAGTCAGCTCTCCACCGTGATGAAAGGAGGATGGATGATTTGCCGCCAAATGCTCGTCAAGTTGAGGATCACGAAGGATCGACTCACGTTGATCCGCGACATGAGCAGATCAGACAGAACGAAGCCATGACCTTCGATCCGCATCGGGAAAGGTTCAACCGAGATGAGGTGATAGAGGTTGATCGCCGCCAAGTTGCGTCGCCTTGGCAAAGAGAGCTCATAGAGGAACGGTCGTTCGATCTGTCCTACCGGCCCTCCATGGCTACAATCACTCATCGCGGTTCGGAGAGCAGAACCGTAGCTCACAGAGCTACCACTGGGCGCCAAAGAAAGAATGAAGCACTCCGATCCGCGGCTCGAACGGTTGATTCACCATTCACTGATGAGATCCTGAATGCCCCGCATCCAAGGAAGTTTGCTATGCCAGTATTTATTCTATTTGACGGAACAACCGATCCGATCGATCATGTGTACCATATCCAGTTGAAGATGGCCCTGAATACGGAAAACGACGCTTTAATATGCAAATGTTTCCCTACAAGCCTAGCTGGACCGGCGCTCAGCTGGTTCAAGAACTTGCCTAGGAGCTCCATTGGTAGCTTCCGAGACCTGTGCGATCGGTTCATAAGCCAGTACTATGGGAACAAGCGTCCGCCAAAGGACATCTCAAGCTTATTCACAATGAGACAGCACAAAGATGAACGTCTCCAGGCTTTTCTCACCAGGTTTAATCTCACTAAAAGTATGGTGATCGAATGCCACCCCTCTACAGCGGTTCAAGCCTTCAAGTTAGCCATGACATGTGGCACTCCGTTCTATACCAGTCTGGTAGTGAACACGCCGACGACTATGGATGAACTCAATGAAAGAGCCGACGGCTTTGTGCGCCTAGAAGAAGAGGAGGCAGCCAATGCTCGGACAGCGTCGCTTGTGTCGACCGAGGAAAAGTCCAAGGCAAAGATCAGGCAGAAGCAGGCTCAGCCGCAACGTCAGACCTCCTGGAAGGCAGAAAAGAGGTCCAGGGAGGAAGAGCTGATCACTCCGCTGAAGGTCACTCTGGCGAGGCTATATCAGGAGAACAAAGATAAGTTTCATCCACCACTGCCAATTAGGCAACCCCTCGAACAGAGGGATCAGACTAAACATTGTGCTTTCCATTCTGATTTCGGTCATCAGACTAATGAATGCATGAATTTGAGAAGGCAAGTGGAGATGTTGATAGCTAGAGGGGAGTTCGCGAGTTATGTTCAAGGCTCGGCGACAGAGCAGAATCGACCGATGGAACAAGTAAAAAGGAGCCATAAACAAAGCTCCCACAATTCACAACTAGTTCATATAATCAATGCTATCCACGGTCGACCCGAGCCCAGCGAAGATTCAGATGAGCTGCTCCGAGCGCACCTACGGCAGGCACAGATGAAGAAAAGGGTCAACAGTGTGAATACTCTACACCAGCAGATCACATCGATACAGATAAAGTTCGACAGGACAGACCTGCAGCGTGTTCAAATCCCCCATGAAGACCCGTTGGTAGTCAGTTTGACAGTGGCGGACTGCCTGGTGCGCAGAATTCTGATCGATCCCGGGAGCAGTGCGAATGTCATGCCGAGGGACACATTTGATCGGCTCGAGATTAAACTAGAGAGGCTCAAGCCCACTGGAAATCCCCTGTTAGGATTTAATGGCAAGAGGGTGGAGCCCGTCGGAATGGTGGAAGTAGAAGTTCAAGCTGCAGAACGAGCTCTTATGGAAACTTTTGTGGTTGTAGAGATTCACCCCTCGTACAATCTCTTGATGGGAAGAGGATGGATTCACAGAGTCCAAGGAATACCCTCAACTTTGCATCAGGTCGAGGTGCCTCGGACCCGATGGAAATAAGGTGATAGAAATTCGTGGGGATCAAGTTGCAGCCAAAGAGTGTTATTCCGTCACACTAAAGTATGCTGGGAAAGGGAAGGCGCCCGTCCGACCGGCAAACCCCAGATAGCAATTACAGGAACCTCCGCCCAAGCAGAACAGGGTGGAGGAGTCAGTTGACTTGACCGAAGAGCCCCTTCTGGATGTGCAGATCGATCAGTCCAGGCCAGAACGAACTACCAGAGTAGGAATAAGACTGACCAAGGATGAGCGGCAAGAGCTAGCTGACTTCTTGTCTCACAATGCCGATGTATTTGCATGGAGTCACCTAGACATGCCTGGAATTAATCCCTCCGTATCATGTCATTCCTTGAACGTCAATCCCAATTTCAAACCAGTAAAACAAAAGCAACGAAGATTTGCTCCAGAACGCAACCAAATCATAGCCGAGGAAGTTGATAGGCTGCTTGATGCGGGATTTATCAGAGAAGTACACTACCCTGATTAGTTGTCCAACGTCGTTGTCGTGCAGAAGAAGAATGGGAAATGGCGAGTATGCATTGATTTCATCAATTTGAACAAAGCCTGTCCGAAGGATAGCTTCCCGCTGCCAAAGATTGATCAAATGGTGGATGCTACCACCGGGTATGAACGCTTAACCTTTTTGGACGCTTATTCAGGTTATAATCAGATCCCTTTGGACCCGGCAGATGAAGAAAAAACTTCTTTTGTAACCGAGCGAGGGACATACTGCTACAAAGTTATGCCTTTCGGACTAAAGAACGCGGGAGCAACTTATCAAAGACTTGTTAGCAAAATTTTCAAGGATCAAATAGGAAAGATTGTGGAAGCCTATATTGATGATATGGTGGTAAAGAGTAGGAAGAAGAATGATCATCTGAAACATCTGCAAGATATATTTGATGTGCTGAGGCGATATGGGATGAGGCTCAATCCAACCAAGTGCT